CTCTCCTCTCTCACTCTCTCTTTAAAAAAAAAAAAAAGAAAAGAAAATTAAATGTTTCTTATATCAATATCTATAATTTTAAAATCATAGGCCACATTTTGGAGAAAAAGAATATAAAATTTATCTTCACAGAGATGTACAATCATCACAGTTTTAGAACACTTTTATTGCCCCCCAAAGAAATCCCATATCTATTAACATTCACTCCCAATTCTTCCTAGTATAACCACTATCTATTCTCTGTCATTGTAGATTTGCTTCTTCTGGACATTTCATATAAATAAAAAATAATTTAATTGTGGCCTTTATGATAATCCTCTTTCACATAGTATGTTTTTAAGATTCATCCATGCTGCAGAATATACATATCTTATATGAAGAATTGTTAAAAATCTTTTGCCAATTTTTAAATTGCGCTGCTTTTTCAATATTGAATTATAGGAGTTATTTGTTCATTTTTGGATACAGTCCTTTGTCAGTTATATATATATATATATCGCAAGTATTTTCTTAGTCTGTGGCTTGCCTGGTAACTAAGTTTTTGGCAATTGTTAGCTCCAAAGGTGTTACTCATTATAAGCCTATTAGCAGTAGGGCTTTTCTGGAAATCTTTCTCTGCCTGGCAACCTAGCTCCTATAGAAAGAAAAAAGAGATATTAAATTTCTAACTTTTAAAAATTTTACTTAGACCAAAAATTGATTTTTAAAAAGTAAACAAATACTCCCAAAGATCAAATTGTGTTTAAAGAAACTAAAACTAAATGGTATCTAATACCCTAACAGAATACTCATTTGGCATGAAAGTTATTTGGGTTTTTTATGTTCTGTTTTCAGCATGGCTAGACCATAAAAACTGTTCCTCACCAACTGTACTTACTAATGAGAAATCTATAAATGATAATATGTTGCTTCCACAAAAGAGCCCATCCCTGACAAAAGAAGTACCAGATCTGTGTTGGTCTGATGAATATGTCTCTGTTGAAAGACCAAAAAAGGAAGAAAAACTAAAGAATGATCAGGAGCTAATTGATAGAACAATACAAAAGAAAGATAATAAAGATCATGTTGAACGTGACTGCATGGTGCCATCCAATGAATCATCTTCCTCTTCAAGAATTAAGATAGCATCTTTTGAGCCTGGTAAAAAACAGGAGAATGATTTGGACCTTTTGAGCAACTTTATTGTGCTGCGAAATAAATACAAGACTTGCACCTCAAAGCCTGAAGTCATAGACCATGATAAAAAAGATGGTGGGTAATTTAGTAATATTCTGGCCTAGATATGATAGGTATAAAGCAAAAGTACATAATTTTTTTATAAAGGCAAAGAAATAACATTCTTTTAGATAAAATTATATTTTTCACAAAGAAAATTGCATTGATTGATGATACTCATATGTAGAGATAGATATGGATATATAAATACAGATTTAAATATAGATGTACATATATATTTCAAAAAAATTAAAAGTTGCATTTGAATTGATAACAAAAGTCACTATCTATAAAACTTGTTTTCTACAACTGGGCCATACAAGTTCATAATATTTCCAACTTTTATTGATCATTCTGTCATTATTTTTTTCTGTTATCTGACAGCCCTATCTCAATATTTTAACTTACATTTTAATGTATATTTAAGAACTTTTCCCACTTAATTGCTTATTATATTTTATAATGTTACCAAAGAATTTCTGATTCAGTTGTAATTGTCTTGTTTCCTGCTTCTAGCCATATCAAAGGTAGTGAAATGTGTCAAATCTTTTCACTTTGGCTATTTAAAAAAATAGGCTTTCTAGAATAATTCTGACATATATTGTCTTGATAAAATAAATACTTATGTGACTTAGAATAGTTAGGTCTTACTGTCTGTCCTATATACTATTAATAGACACAGGATTTTGGGTTCTTAATGTCATGGTGGTTACATATACTTTTTCCAAAAGATGTGCTTAGAGTTATATTACTTTGTCAGTCAGAACATCTTTTATAGAGAAAAATCTCATAAAAATACAGAATAGAATTTAAATATTTCAGGATTTTGTAATCTTTTATGTTTATATATATTCACCTTAAAGTTGTCTTTTATGTAATAGTTCTTGACCAAGTTATAACTTACCCTGCTCGGTGACAATTCTACATGTAACTGAGATTATTCTTACCAATGTTTTCACTATAATTCAAGCATACCATCTACATAGAAGAATGAGCAAAATATAAAGAATCATGTTATATATATGATTAAAAATGGGAATCATTTAAAAGATTTATTTTCATAATTGTTAATGTTTTCAGAGTCTACTTATATTAGTTAAAAAAGGAGTCCACTCCAAAATTAACACTGACATCCCTGTCTGGTTGCCATATTTAATAGCTTATAATAGGATATATTAGCAACATAAATGACAAAAATCAGCAAGAAAAGAGAAAAAGATAAAAAATATTTTCTTAAAAAATGTTAGCCATTAATTTCCTAAACAATTAAAGGAAAATTAGTTGGAAATACTTTTGTACTCTGATGTTTTCTCAATTAGTATTATGTTCCACCTGCTTTGCTTTTTTATACATTTTTTCCCAGAGTAGGTAGAAGGAATAATCTAAATGATAAATTTGAAAAAAAATAAATTGGATGTAAGCTTGTGGGAATGAACTTGCCAATAGGATAAGGTGTTTTCCTCAGCTTCTCTTACATCATGACTCTTTTCCCTATGAACAATTCTTTCCCAATCCAGTATACTCTAGGACTGGGTGGGTAACTCTACTTCATTCTATTGTTTAGTTTGCAAGCCCATTTGACTCTCAAATTAAGCACTATTCTCCAACTTTTTAGCTTTTATAGTAATAAATAATATTTTACTTCTTGTTTTATTTTGTAGTTGCTTCAAGGACAAGAAATGTTACAACAATTAATATTACTTGACTATATCTTTTTAAATTATAGATAATTGAAAGTATTACTTGAAATTAATAACAATCTAGTTAAGGATATACTCCATTATTATATTTTTAACCATGTATTTAAATCTTGTATACTAAAATTTCTCAAGCTGGCAATATATTTCTAAAATTATCTTATAATTATATTATAGATGGATGACATTACTTTCTAGTTAATGTAACTACACACACACACACACACACTCATCTATATATATACATATATATATGAACACATACATATATATATATGAGGACTCAGATATATACAATACCTAGGAAAGAGGAAATAAAACTAACATTTATTGAACTCTCTGTGCCAGGCACCAAATTATATATTAGAGAGAAACATGATGTGATTGCTGATCTTGAGACACTCACAGGTACTTGGTGTTTAATCTTTATAACAATATTTAAAATAGGTATCTTTGTCCATATTTTACATATGAGGAAACCAAAGCTCATGTCAGAACTGATGTTGAAATACTAATTTGATGATGACATTCTTCACAATTTTATCATTTATCTTTCTCTCCAGCATAGTGTTGTCATAGCTCTATTGATATGAAGAGTTTGTTCAATTTAATACTGATGTATTGCAGTGAAGAAGTTTAGCAACTATGATCATATTTTAGAAAAAAGTGTTAAAGCTTAATTAAAGCATGAAGTTTTTCCTGAACAATTAAAATTAATTTTTTGTTAGAATTTCAAGATAAAGAAGAATATTCTTCAACTCTTCAAGAACAAAGTCCTGTTGTTTCCATTAATAAAACTCCAGAGAAAATAAATGAGAAAAGGGAAGTGGATGATGTACTTGAAGTTCAAGCATCAGGTATGCTACCTTTAAAATACTTTCAAAATTATTTGAGAGCCGTTCCCTGTATGTCTAGGACAAATTTTGTTTTCCATGTAATTTTCTTTACTTATTTCAGAAATTTCTTCATTCCACTTCTCATTTCAAGTTATTACCAGTCCTGGCATGCCCTGTTTACTGCCTCTGCCCCTCCTCATTACCCTACTCCAGTCCAATAATTGTTAATTCTTCTTTCATTAAAACTGCTACTGCCTTCCTACATCCATCAAAGTAAAAAAAATTCCAACTGTCAGGCTCTACTGCCCAGTCTGAAAATGAACTGCAAATGGTTGCTCTCTGTTTTCTTAGTCATTATCAAAGTTATGTAAATTAGTTACTGTTGATTCCTGTGTTGATTAAATTTGTTTTGCTGTAAAGTACAATGTTATTGGACTCCAAAAGCATAACCTGTTTTAAGAATACCAAGCTCGTTATTAAAATCAGCAAGGAAACATGACACTAGTTCCCAAATACCTTTCTTTCTTTTTATTTATGGCCTCCAGAAGATTATGCCCATCTTTAGTGGTATTCTAGTGAAAACTAGAAATAACTTGTCATTGCTACAAACCTGGCTTGAGTTTGTAATCTTATAATGGAAGAGGGAAAAGGAAAATATTATGTGGGTCTCTTTATAAGGCTCCTTATACTTGCTATGTTAAACTAGTTACTAAATAAATCCTTTCTAATAAGTACTATAGCCATAAAATTATATAATTCTATGAGGATTTTTTGTGTGTATTTACTATTCTACAGAATAAATATCTTAAAATAAATCTCTATACTGTCTCATGATTTTTAACTCATAATTTGGATATAAGTTCAGGTTTCTATGAAGTAACATGTTTAGTTGTTTTATCAAAAAGAGCATATCATTCTTATAAAAATATTGCTTTTAATGCTTTTATTTTTGCAGATAGCCAATGCCAGGCATACTATTTCCTAGAAGCAGCCGCTGCTCCTATCTTAAAAAAACTTGTATGCCTCTGTGCCCTCTCAGCTAATTGGAAATTTGCCACTGTTATTTTTGACCAAACAAGGTTCTTTTTAAAGGAACAAGAAAAAATACTAAGTGATGCCATTCACCAAGGTTAGTACAAATCAAATTTGCATGATTTAGAACGGGAGAAAACTGGAAATCCATATGTAGTAGAATGACACTTAACCCTTATCCCCCACCCTTCACAAAACTCAACTCAAAGTGGATCAAAGACCTAGGAATTAGGCCAGAGATCCTGTACCTGTTAGAAGAAAATGTAGTCCCACCACTCCAATAAATTGGCTCAGGAACTGACTTCCTTAACAAGACTCCTAAAGAACAGGAGGTAAAATTTAAAAATCAATAAATGGGATGTTATAAAATTAAAGTTTCTTCACTGCAAAGGAAACAAACAAGAGCATGAAGAGAGAGCCTACAAAATGGGAGAAAATCTTTGCTACCTGCACTTCAGATAGAGCATTAATCTCGAGGATATATAAAGAACTCAAAAAACTTTAACACGAAAAAAACAAATAACTCAATCAATAAATGGACAAAGGAACTGAACAGAAGAACAAATACAAATGGTCAACAAATATATGAAAAAAATGTTCAACATCACTAGAAATTAGAGAAATTCAAATTAAAACTACACTAAGATTTCATGTCACTCCAGTCAGAATAGCAATTACAAAAACACAAATAACAATACAGTAAGACTATCATTATATTTAGCCTTTTCTGTTCTACTACAATTGTATTCTAAGCCATAGCTACACCTAACTCTTCTACTAAAATACAAACAACTTAAAAGACCTATGTGAAAAAGTTTTCCTGACTTTTCCTATAAGAATAAAAGGGATTGGCTAAGGAAAAAAACAAAAAACAAAACAAATGTTGGCAAGGATGTGGGGAAAAGGATACACTCATACATTGTTGGTGGGACTGCAAATTGGTGCAGCCACTCTGAAAAGCAGTATGGAGATTCCTCAAAAAACTAGGAATGGAACCACCATTTGATCCAGGTATCTTACTCCTTGACATATATATAAAGGATTTTAAATCAGCATACTACAGTGATGCAACCACATCAATGTTTAGAGCAGCACAATAGCTAATCTATGGAGCCAACCTAGGTGTCCCTCAGTAGATGAGTGGATTTTTTTAAAATGTGGTATATATACACAGTAGAGAATTACTCAGCAACAAAGAAGAATGACTTTATAACATTTGTTTGCCAATTGATGGATCTGGAAACTATCATGCTAAGTGAAGTAAGCCAGTCCCCCAAAACCAAAGGTCAAATGTTTTCTCTATTGTAGAAACTAACCCACAATAAGGGAGGATTTAAAAAAAATAGAAGTTCAGTGGAGTAGACAAAGGAGAATGAAAGGAAGGGAAGGAAAGGATGGTAAAAGGAAAACTGGAATGAATCTAACATAACTTTCCTACGTACATATGTGAATATACCACAATGAATATTATTATATCAAATTAGTAAAAAATTTATTTTAGAGGATGAAAAAAGTAGATGTGGATGAAGGTTTAATTGTAGTTCAGTTTATAGTTTCCACCCCGAAACCAAGACTGGAAGATCTGCTAAGTAAGGAGAAAATGGTAAGAAATACCATCTGGCACTACTCAGTGAAGCTCCTGATTGACATGTATTATTTGATAGGTTAGATTGATATAGTTGTATAACTTAGTTTTCTATTGCCAAAACTAAGTTAAACTATTATTGTTACCACCTAAACCAATGAGTCTTCTCCAAAAAGGTTAAAAAATAGATTAAATTCAATCCTGGACTTTTTCTTCTGGCCAAGATGGAGTAAGAGGAATTAGATTTTATCCTCCTCCTAGAAATAACAACAGAAAACAAAGACAAATTACATGAAACCAGTTTTTAAGTTGCTGAATATCAAGCAATAAAGGACACTGATTCCTGAAAGAAGGGGAAAAAAACGAGGTGAGCACTTCCACTATACTAGCTTATTCTCTTTAACATGTTATTGGGCAATGACATGGGAAGGGGTACTGAGATAGAGCCTGGTGGAGAGTCTGAGTTGAAGAAACAGCTGAGATCCCAGGGATACCAAGGCAGCTAGAGTTCAAGAATAGAATATTAAAGAGCAGAGAGCTTCACACAGAGAGCTGTAGACCTGCTAAGAAACTCCCTCAAGTAAACAGTAGAATATATCTGAGGAAATAACCTGAGGTTAAGAAAACAAACCATCTAGGAGGATTAGAGGGAATAGTATGCTGCATTCACATAGAGCAAGGAATAATGTTTGTTCTCATCAGCTGGACTATAAAAAGTCGTAATTCACGGGGAGTAAGTAGAGTACTCAGAACAGTCTTGTCTCAGTAGTGGGGAATAATTATCCTAGACTTAGCACTGCCCTGCTCCTACTTACCAAATCACAAAAACAAGACCCAAAGGATCAAACTATTTCCAAGGAACTTAATTGCATAATAAAGCTTAAAAAGATTTATTTATATGAATACATAAATATCTAGTACTCAACAAGGTAAAATTACAATGTCTGGTATCCATTCAGATTACTGTGCATACAAAGAGGCAGGAATACATCTCATAATAAGATCAATCAATCAAAACAAATCCAGAACTGACAAGGATATTGGAATTATCAGAGAAGGACACTGAAAGTTACTATAACTGTCTTCTGTTATGTTCAAAAAGTGTTTGGGGCACCTACCTAACAGCTATTAATTATACCATTGCCACTGCTGACCCAAACATTGTGAGGCCCTGGGTCAGGAGAGAATAGAAAATATTTATTTAGTTATTTATATATATATATATATA